ATAAAGTGTAGACAGCATACCACAAATTTATTAGAAACAATAATTATTTATTAACTTGAAGAAAGTCTTCTCCTTTCATGATCACCATTGAAACTCCAGTAAATTATACCAGCAAATAATATCTGAAATTCCCAAGTATTTAAAAATTCAATATACTGATACATCTGTAGAACAGAATTTCAATCAATATTACAGTACATTAATACATATGATCAAATGTTGTTAAAAGATAATTTTTCATGAGCTGAGCATATAAAAAGAATCAAGTAAAAACTTAAATTCTTACACTAACAAGTGGATGTATTTCAATAATAAAAAATTTACTTTCCAAATGTTTCTCTTCACTGAGAACATTAGTTTCAATTAAAATTCTGAATATCTATTGACCCTGATCTTTGATTCAGTTCTCTGTGTTTGCCCAACTGTCAGGAGAAGCTGCCTATAAAAAACAATAAGTAAAGATTGTGAATTTCTACAATTTTAACATACATGTAAAAATATCTTCCCAATGTAAAGATTGTGAATTTCTACAATTTAAATATACTTGTAAAAATATCTATCCAATGTAAAGTTCAATCTTAATTTTATATATATATATATATATATATATATATATATATATCTCCATATTAATGGAAAATCCTGGACATTCAGATGTAATTAAAATCAGTTGAAGGAATTATAGACTATTTTGTTTCTAACCCACTTAAAGTAAAAATAACAATAGTGATATGAAGGCATTTATTTATTTTATGGTAGATATGCTCTTATGAAAATTAGTGAGAGAATATATGGCATATTAAGATTTCTTTCTAAATATGATAGCAACAACAAAAAAATGAATAAATGAATCTTCTGTCTTAATAAATCCAGTTGATAGGCAAACACCTGCATTAAATGCAAAGCACTTCTGTCATTGATATGCTTATCATTTTCTCCTGAATGACCTTGAAGCTTAATGAAATTCACATGAAAGATTTCACTGTGCGTGTTTAAAGAAAGCAGTTAAAAAGATTCAGATAGCTTTATAAAATTGAATTTCATTTTATTAAAAAAATTCCTCTGTTCTCATTTATTGAGAAAGTAAACTGCTCCAATTCAAACGCAGTTTACAAGCAACTTTCATGGTGTGTCTTTGTTGTCACATGGTAATGTCCCCTAGATTGACAAGTGGTGCAATGGTCTTTGAGGACTGATTTCTAAGGATGTTAAGAGCAGGAACTTCATTCTTTTAAAATACTTTCTTAAATACATGCTTCAATACAAAGTCAACCACTGAAGGAACTATTTAAGAAATAAGGTCTCGATGTTGACAATGGGAAACACAACGAGGAACATTAATCTAGCTTCTTGTTTACATTTGACAAAAGTAGAGGTACATAGTTGTAGAAAAGTGTGAAAAGCCTGGGCTCTGTTCAGCAAGATAAATCTACATAAAGTCACTAGTGACTAAGATGAAAGGAATCTTTAGAGTGCCATATGCTGACATTTAGAAAATTTAAATGACAAGTATTAAATCTATTAATATTGGAAACTTCCTATGAGCTTTTAGAAGATTTACAGACTTCTCTATAAATAACATAAAAACATGAGTCCTTTGGGTGAGTAAAAGCTTTAGGCATAACAATATGCATAAGATAGGTTTCACTGACTTTGCAGCCTCTCTGTCCACACCCTCAGGCAACTCTCCTGGGACACCATTTCCAGTTATAATTCTCATCAAAAGATGAGGCCACTTTCTTTCTAAGAATAAGCGTATTTATTCAGAAAAGAAAGCTGCAAGTGTAGACCTGAATTTAGCTCTTTATCCTCTCCTAAAAATACAGAAAATGCAAACGAAGAGAATTGTGAACTTACATTAATCAGGTGCTATTTATTGCACAACACAGAACATCTCTAGAATCATTTTATATAATTTATCTACTTGTGATACTAGAAGTGTTCAAATCCACAGGACTTCTTATGTTTCAGGATGCATAGTATAGAAAATACACACAGTATTGCTGCGCTTAGCCATATTGGAGCCTGAGGCAAAGACAAATCAGTAATACTGATTTATCTATATTTAAAATTTGGATGTTTTGTTCATCATTGTTTTGAAATTAATTCTTGTTTTAAAAATGTATTACATTAAAAATAGATTAAATGTCATGACACCAAAATAAAAACTTTTGTGCATCAAATAACCCTAATAATACAGTGAAACAGCAACCATGAAATGGAAGAAAATATTCAAAAAATCATATATCTGATAAAGGGTTAATATCCATAATATATTTTAAAACTCCTACATCACAAAAAACAAACCAAACAACCCAATTAAAACATGGACCAAGGAACTGAATAGACATTTCTCCAAAGAGGATATCCAAATGGCCAATAAAAGCATGAGAGGATGCTCAGCAGTACTACTCATTAGGGACATGCAAATTAAAATCACAATGAGATACCGCTTTGTACCCATTAGAATGGCTAAAATTAAGCAGAAAATGATGCTGAGAAAGTAGATAAACTGGAAGACTTGTGCCCTGCTAGTGGGAAAGTAAAGTGGTACAGGCTCTATAGAAAACAGTATGATGCTTCCTCAAAAATTAAACAGAATTACCATATGATCCAGCAATTCCACTTTGGGTTTATACCTTAAAATACTGAAAACAGGAACTTAAACAAATATTTGTACACTCAAGTTCACAGCAGCATTATTCACAATAGCCAAAACATGGAAGCCATCCAAGTGCCCATCAATGGGTAAATGGATAAACAAAATGTGGTATATACATCCAAGGAATTATTCAGCCTTAGGAAAAAAAAGGAAATTCTACTGTGTGCTACAGCATGGATAAACCTTGAAGACATTTTACTAAGTGAAAAAAGCTAGTCACAAAATGACAAATACTGTATGATTATACTTATATGAGTTTCCTAGAGTAGTTAAATTCATAGATACAGTGGAATGGTGGGTATTGGGGTCTAGGAGAAGGAATGAATGGGGCAAATTGTTTAAACTATACAGAGTTTCAGATTGGGAAGACGAAAATGTCTAGAGATGGATGGTGGTAATAGTTGCACAATAACACAAATTACTTAATGCCACTGAAGGGTACACTTAAAAATGGATAAAACAGTAATGCATATGTTATGAATACTTTGAAAATATTGCATTTAAAGATTACTTCATTCAATTATTGGCACTACCTCTCCTTCAACTCACTTTTTGTGAGTTGTGCCTGAGATTGCTTTACTAACCTTACCCTTGCCCTGGCCCTGGATAATTTCTGTGGTTTGGGGGATCATAGATGCTATGATCTGAATGTTTGTGTCCCCCCACCCTCAAATTCATATGTTGAAACTTAATCCCCAATGCAGAGTCTTGAGATGATTAGGTCATGAGGGCAGAATCCTCCTGAAAGATATTAGTGCTTTTATAAAGGGGGCTGAGGGAGCTTGTTTCTCCTTTGCACCCTGTCAGGATGGAGTGAAAAGGCACTGTCTAGGAAGAATGGGTCCTCACTGGATACTGAATCCATTGGTGTCTTGATCTGGGACTTCTCAGCCTCCAGAATGGTAAGAAATAATTTTCTTACCCAATGTAGAGCACATTTTATTATAGCAGTCTGAGTGGACTGAGAGTGTAGAGTACAGCATAAAATAAAATGTTCTTTTCTTCCTTTCCCCTTCTTCCTACCTTCAAACTCCTAGTGTTTTTCTCTTTTGTAAGACAGATTAAAACATACTTCAGTTACTAGTTGAGAACCTTATGTTGTGCTATCATTTTAAGAGTAAAATTTTGAAAGCTATAAAGGAGAGCTGAATAGAGAAATCAAACTCCATAAAGTATTGAAATCTCACAAATGAATCCCTGTTACCTAGAGCACATAAATAAGGTTAAGAGGGATTCATTGGTGAGATTTCAATTCTTTATGGAGTGTTAGTTCTCTATTCATCTCTCCTTCATAGCTTTCAAAATTTTACTCTTAAAATTATTTTAGTAGAAATAAATATTAAAAGTAATTTTTTGAGAGTCTGTCTCAAAAGCTTTGAGAAATTTCACGTTTTAAAAAGACATTGGTTAGCTCTTGGCATGATTAATGTTAGCATATTTGATCCCTCTATCAAAAAAGGAGAACATTTTAAAACTGGCTCTATTTTTTTGCTAAAGAAAATAAAATATCATCAGATATAAGGGGAAAATAATGTTCAAACAATGTTTTGATAAATATATGACATAAAATGCATATAAGGAGCTCCATATCAAAAAGAAAATAAAAATTAACTAATGTTTCAAAGTGTATACTTCCTTCATTTTATGTTTGAATATTCAAGAATTTCTCAGTGTGTAAACTGCATTTGAGAGTATAGGATTGTTTCAGTATCCTCAGTGAAAATAATACCACTAACTCCCTGAATTGTAAAATCAAGACTATCTCAAAGCCAAATTAGTCCCAACTATAACATTCACACTAATCCAATTTTTAAATGCAGCTATCAAAAAATAAGTTGCAATTTATACAGCAAGTTGCAATTTATACATCACAAAGTGTCTCTTCTTACATTGACAGTATCTTCATAGACCTCAGATCTTCAAAAAACACCAAGGGTTTTCATAATAATGGTGAAGAAAGAATCAACTTGGGTAAAATTAAGTAGATTGTCTTTTTTCCCCCCCTACTATATCCCAATTGTCTAGGATTCCACTGTCCAGAATACGGCCTGTCTGAATTGTATTGATTTTTCTTTCCTATATTCAGTTAACAAGTGTATACTTTTGACAACTACTGTGTGTCAGGCACTGCCCTGAATGCTGAAGATACAATCAAAAATCCCCTCATGGAAATATTCCAGTGCCAGAGAAAATAGATCCATTAAATACAGTATCTCAGTCCTATGGAATTATAACTTGTCTGGTATAACTTATTGGAAAACTCTAAGTGTCATGAAAATGAATATACGGGCTCAGAACCAATCAAGGCAATGTTTGTTATCTTAGCATATGGCTTTACCTGGAGCTTGGAGATGAGTAACAGTTAGCTTAAGTGCATGATAAAGGAAATCCGTGCGGTCCAAACACAGGGAACAGGATTTGCAAGCTTCCTGCATTGGAAAGAAGGAAAAAAAAAAAGAAAGAATTAAATGAGGCCTCTTTGTGGGATAGGAGGAAGAGATTAGTGACAGTGAAGCTAGAGCATCCAGACACATTGACCTGTAAGGATGACTGTATTCAAGAGCTCATATCCTCGGGCTTAAGGACAGTCACACTTGGCACACAGATTCTATTTGTCTTCACACAGATAAAGGGAAATGGCGCTGTCCCTCTGGCAAATTAACTTTCTCATTGCCCAGAATTTCTATAACCTTAAATTCCCTAACAGTAATCTACTGCCCTTCTTTCTCCCTGACTTGAGATATAATTGAAGAGGTTGTCCAAAGGCTTCCTCTCTTTGCTTCAATGTCCTGAACACATATATTGAATATGTCAGATAAAGGGGGAAAAAAAGCTGAGATGGGGGTGGTGGAGGACATATGAGGAATAGGAACCTTCATTTTCACCTCTGACAAGTGAAGTGAGCATAGGAGAGTTAGAAAACCTACGTTTCATAAAGTGCAAACAAAGTATCAAAAATGAGTATATTAAGTCAGTTAACAAGTGTATACTTTTGACATTTTTGACTTTTGATTTTTTTTAGATTAACCATAAAAGCTGAAGAATTTGAGAAGCAAGAGATGAAACACATTACAGAACAAGAACATCTTTTTAAGTCTTTTTCTTGGTTGTCATGTTCTAACATGCAAATGGTTCAGTATTAACCCTAAGTATTCACAATTGCCATGCTTACACATTTTTTACCACCAGGGACAAATAATGCATTTTTTAAAAAATTTTTGAGCTTCAGTTTCCATATCTGAAACCTAGATGATTACGCACTGTAGTGCCTTTGGTTAGATGATGATAATATGTCTGCATACAAATACATATGTACACACACACACACATAAAGAAATTGCAAATTACAAGTAGGGATTCTAGAAAAGATGGAGTTATGTGACTTGCCAATTTACGTTCACACAGTTAAAAAAATACTGAACTAAAATTTTTGTACCATATAAATCATGACTTAGTGTATCTTTTATGAGAAAGTGGGAAAAGTGAAGTTCTTCATTGTGGAAGTGAGAAGTATTGGTTTGGTCTCACTCTTTTGTATGATGTAGTTCTATCAGTGGTAACACAAGCAACCCAACTGTTCAGGCAAATTTTCATAAATTCAGGATATTAAGCGGGGTTTAAGAGGGATTTTCTGATGACTCTTGATGTTCTCAGCCAGAAATTAAGGGACTCTCATTACATTTCTTTCTATGTTTCCCATCTTCTTATCATGCTCCTGTTCTACCACCAATGCACCTTCTTTCTCCTATGGTCACATCTTTCATCTCTTTTTCCCCTTTGTAACTGTTCGATGTCCTTTTATGTTCTATTCCTCTGGTAAGAAATTAAATAATTTTTTTTTTCCTTTTTGAGACAGTCTCGCTCTGTAGCCAGGCTGGAGTGCAGAGGCAATCTTGGCTCACTGCAACCTCTACCTCCCACGTTCAAGTGATTCTCCTGCCTCAGCCTCAGGAGTAGCTGGGATTACAGGTGCATGCCACCACGCCCAGCTAATTTTTGTATTCTTAGTAGAGACGGGGTTTCACCATGTTGGCCAGGGTGGTCTCGATCCCTTGACCTCGTGATCCACCCTTCTCAGTCTCCCAAAATGCTGGGATTACAGGTGTGAGCCACCTTGTCTGTCCAGAAGTTAAATAATATGTTTAAATAAATTCAATCCAATGCAGTTATACATTGGAATAAATTCAATCCAATGCAGTTGTATATTCTACATAAAGATAGTAGTTTTTTGGTATTTCTAACAATTACCTCTTAAAACATTAAGTTATCCCTTACTCTCTATGTTTAATATCATTTTCCTTCTGATTCAGTGACCATTAACAAAGAAATAGGCTACCTACCTTCTTTATGTATTCACAATTTTAATTCACCCTACACATACTTTAACATTTCTATGAATCTTATGGGTGCAAACATAAACACTATCATTGAAACAGGTGATGTTTACAGATAATAGGCATTATATAATATTCACTTCTTTACTATGATGATGAAATCAATTCCAGCTTTCATCTTTTCTCCATCTAATGTCTGTGACTATGATGTTTGCTGCATCTACAGTCAATATCATTCTCAGCATCAAATGTGTGTTTCTCTAGTAAGAGTGAATACAGGCATCATAATGTAGATGGCAGCACTCAGTGAACACTGCCAACTCTGAACACTGGAGAAAAGAAGCATATTGGGTGCAAGTGTGTGGGGAAATGGGGAGGAGAGACAAAGAGAACAGCTGCATTCCCTCAGAGAAATTTAGAAAAAGTATGTCATTTTAAGACTTGTTCAAACTATAGGGGTGGGGTGGGGAACACATGGGTGCACGTGTGTGTGTATTTGTATGTATGTATATATGAGTTAGATACATAAGTATACATGTGTGTATGTACACATGTATATGTGTGTTAGATACATATGTATGTATGTGTGCCTGTATGTGTGTGTATACAGAAAAATTGTATGTAAAACACGATCGAAGCTATCAGTATCAGATAGGTTATTTCCCTATGTTAGAGACGGGCCAACTCTGGTAGGGGACCATAATTCTGGAGAAATACATGTGTTGCCAGAGTTCTGGCTTTAAAATTCCATGTGGTTCTTTCAGCTTTGGAGTAAAACTCTTACTACCTCACTGGCACAGATGCCATCAGAGACGGTCATATCTTCATGTCCACCACTCAGCTAACCAGTAAGGCACTCTACTGCCGTTTGGAGATTATCTGTGGATTCTTACATTCAATAGGGTCTTAAATTCAATTATGAGTGGCCGCTTTTTTCAGGAACAAGCCGGTATTTCCTGAGTACAGAAGGAGTTAAAGGTCCAGACATGGAGATTTCCCTTTTCCCTTCTTAGAAAATGGCAAGTGCACATTATGCTGTGGCAAGACAACTACGACATGCTGAAAAGATAAATATATACACATTTTTTCTCCCCACCTTCTCCCATTTGCTCATCTCACCTGTTCCCCGTCTGACCTCTGGGGGGCTTACTCGGGATGTCAAGGAAAATGTAAAGTATGTAAAACAGGCTTTTTAAGTAGTAGTATTTGTACACAACAGTGAATTTCTGAGAAAAGATCGAGAAGACTAAGGAATGCATATCTAATGGCTAAATTTCAGGGAAATTGGAAGGTGTGGCTAGAAAGGAAAGCACGGTTTACACACATAGGCAGACCGTGACGGATCAGGGCAAGCGCTCCGGTGCCACGGTGTTTCTGTATCCGCAGACCTGGTAGTACAGTCCACGGCTAAGACTTGGGAGGGCAAATGCCGAGGAAGCGAACCCTGCCTCCAAACCCAAGGCGTGGGATTGACGCTGCAGCCTTTGCGACGGGGCTTAGTTAACTGGTCCTGTGTATTTACGGAGATCTACTGGAGAATTAGCTCCTTTTCATTTTTCCCCCTTTCGTGACCGAAATCGTGAATTCCTAAAAATAAATAAATAGTAAACCAAAGGAAAAAAAAAAAATAAAAGCTAAAACAGGTTTACCTAACGGGAAGCCTGGAGGGGCTGGCGCGGGAGCAGGCTCGTCAGCAGGGCCGCCAGCAGCGCGCCGCCGACCGGCCTCGGGTGTGTGCCCCGCGCTCTTCCCTGCCCGGCCCTCGTGCACTGGGGTCGGGGCGCGTCTCCCGCAGATTTGGGAGCCGGGTGGACGGTGACTGAAAGACGGTGGCAGCCGCGGTCAGTTGCCATTTGAAAGCTCGTTTTGGGGGCGAATGGGAGCAGAGTCACTGCCGCCCTGGCTCCTGTAGGTGGGTCTGGAGGGTCACAGGAGCCCCAGCCCGCGCCGGGGGGTCGGGGTCGCCGACTCGCACCCCTTTGCCCGGGAGGGCTGAGCCCGCCCGCCCGGCGGTGGCGGCACCTTTCCCGAGAGTCGGGGCGGCGGCGGGCCGGAGAGTGGAGGAATCCTCACGGCGCAGCGCGGAAACCACCATTAACAAATGCAAACCCGCTTCTCCCGCGGCTAGACCGTGGCGTCGCGCCCCCGAGCGTCCCCGAGGGGCCGGGGGCAGCCCCGGGGGCAGCAGGAAAGGAAGCGGGTGGCGGGGGCTAGGAGGCGCCTGAGCCTTCTCTCCCCGCCTGCGGAAAGGGAGGCAGCGGGTCCGGGCTTGCCGAGCCGGCCGCCCCTCGCGCACTTCCTCAGCCTTGGCGCGGGGTCCGCCCCGCTTCTCCCCGGCAGCAGCGGCTGGGTGCCCCTGGCACAGCTCGGCGCGGGCGGGCGGCGGCGTCCTCCCCCGGCCCCCTCACAGTTCCTCACCTCCTCACACTCCCTCACCTCAGCCCAGTCGGCAGCCCCGGCGCCCCCGCCCGTCAGGCCCCGCGCCCCCGCGCAGCGCCCCCAGCCGGTGCGCCCCCGCCAGGTCCCGCCGCGCAGCCCCGCCACTCTGCAGCTGAAGCGAACGCCACGGCCGGCCCCGCAGACCCGGGAGGAGGAAGAGGAGGAGGAGGAGGGGGAGGAGGGGACGCCGCGGAGGGAGGCGCGGGGAGGAGGGCTGGAGCCGAGACGAGGAAATAAATAAATAAAACAATAACCTCCGCGCCAATAAGAGCGAGGGAGAGAGCAAGACGCGACCAGAGAGCCGCCGGGGCCCGCTCGCGCGCCTCTGAGAGGCTGTCCGCGCGCGCGCGTTTGTGCGTGAGTGTGGATTTGCCGGGACTGGAGCTGGAAAGTTCAAACTAAACGTGTTGCTCTCTCCGGGTGCCGAGGCCGCGGCGGAGCCTGCCCAACTTGCCCCGGCCGAGTCAGTGGCGTTGCCCAGCTCCTTTGGCGAGGCGGCCGCCGCTCGGCTCTGCGCCCGGGCGCGGCGGCGGCGGCGGCGACGACTCCGCTCTCCCCGGGAGGGAGCCCGCGGCCAGGGCTGGACGCTCGCCCCGCCACCTCCACCGACTCTCTCTCCTCAGCCTCCGCGCCTGGCACCGCAGCAAGGTACGTGGCGCTTCCCGGCGCGGCTTCTCCCCGAGCACACCCCGCGCGGATTTTCGGCCGCCTAGATTCTTCCCCTTCCCAGACCGGTCCTCATTTGTCAAACTTTCCCTCCACCTCGCACACGCCCGCGGCCGCCGCGGCCGCCCTCCCTGGCAGCGTGGGCTTCGCTCGCTGCCGGGAACCGAGCGCGGGGTGGGGGGTGGGGGGACGATCGGTTGGCAGCGGTGGTTCCCGTCTGGATTAAGGTCGCATTTCGGAATAACTCGCAGGTCTTCCCTTCTGGGCTGTTCTTCTTGATGATGTTCCGTGGGATGCTGGTAACGGTTGTTTTGCTCCTTCTGCGCGGAAGGACGTCCAAGTTTGCAGGGAAAGGTAGCTGCGTAGCAGGTGAAGTTTGCAGCCACTTGACTCCGACAGGGGAGTAACCCTTTCTTTGCAGCAGCAGCAGCAGCTCTGGTTTTGAGGCAGCGGCGGCGGCGGCAGCGGTGACAGCGGCGACAGCGGCCTGGCCGGTGGCAGCAGCTGCACGTTGTCCCGTCTGTGACTGGGAGAAGGAGGAAAAGTGGGGTTGCCTCGTCGGAGAGCGCAACTCGGGAGCCGCCTGCAAAGACGCTGCGGGGGAAAATTCTCAGGGCTCCCTGCTCCTTGGTAAATCGTGTTTGGAGAGGCATGATTTCTTTTTGTGGTATTTATGTGCTTAATGACAGGCAGGCTTAAAAATCTCTTTAAAACTTTTGTGCATATGATTTCCATTTCTAGATTAGGTGAACGAAAACCTCTCAGATAAATGCCAAAATCAGTAAAATTGAAGCGCTTTGCAAACCTGCCATGGATTGCCCCGAGGCTTCTTGTTTGTAATAGATCACCTACTGGGAAACGTATCTTCCGTGCCATGCTATTTTAGTCATGGTTATAGGTTCATTCTTCTTCTTCTTCTTTTTTTTTTTCTTACGTCTAAGTACGAAGTTTTAGTGAAACAAAAATTTAAAAGTCATAGTAAGTTTCCAAGCAACGTGCTTGAGCCTTTTGAAGCCACCTGCTGAATTAGTTCATGCTACTTTTCAGAGGTTACCACTTTGGTGCAGGAGATGTAGGCATATCCAGCAGATGGAGCAGTGGAAAACTATACTAGAACCTGCATAACACTCTTTAATCCCGATCTAATCACAGTGAGGCCAAAACAATGTGTATGGAGCTCACTTCAGCGGAGGCACTTGTTTTACTGTCATATTCGGAAAAAAATTTATGTCAACCGAAATATGATTGGAGTGTATCTGTAGAAACTTCAATTCTTCAAGCTTCTTTTTCATTCATAAAACATTTAAAAATAGTTTTTGTGCATGTTAGAGTACAATATGATTCATTCATGTCAGAAATGTCAACTGGTCCTTTGGTTATATATTGTGGTGACTCACAACATCATGAAAAACCAAAAAAAGGGGTCTAATTATTGTGTTATAGTTTAAAAGAGTATTCTGCCATAAAAGGGGTCTAATTATTGTATTATAGTTTAAAAGAGTAAAAAAAACTTGCATTTGGAAGTAAGCAAACATCATTTTGAATGCTTTTTAGTATTCTGAGTGCAACTGAATTTGTGTTTTGCAAAGCTAACATAGCTACCTATTTCTTCAGATAATGCGCTGCGGCTTAAATGAAGGAAAAAGTTAATGAAACTTTTTAGTCATCCTTGTGAATTTATATTCCTTCTTCCCCAAAGTAGCATGAAATTTAGATATGGTGTGATCTGGTCACATTCATTTTACCTTCAGATACAAAGGCAAAATTCTTCAAAAGCCACTTTCAAAAATGCTTATGTTGATATGTTATGGTAACTATCATAACATGAACAGAGAATCTGTCTTCCTATATACATTTGAAAACTTTGCAATCAGTCATGCATATGAAAAAAATAGCTTTAAAGTGAACAGAGACAAATAGGCTGCCCATTTCACAGACAGAGTGGCAAAGCCTTAAGCACCTGGTTTCCTGCATTGTTTCAGGAAAGAACTGTTTCTTGAATCTAATCTGTTCATCTCCCTTCTCTTGCTCCTTTCTTTGTGTTTTGTCGTAGATTTCACAGTGGCAGAGAACTGAGCTTATCAAGTCTGAAAAAAATTCTGTTAGGTCTTACTTTAATGTCATTATTTAGCAATTTAAAAGTTACAGCCATACAGCAAAGATTTTAAGGAATTTAGAGACAGAGAAGATGCCATTGAAAAATGTAGCACTAGCAATCATTTGAATTAAACATGCTTTATACTGTGAGGGCACATGTTTATAAAATATAAGTGACTGTTTTCTAAATCTTCAGATAACGTCTGCAGCAAAGTACTTACTTTTGCATTCTGAAACTATATTTCTTTCATATTCGCATAATATCCAAGAAGGCTTGGAGTTCCCAGTGTTATAAAATAGTATAACTACCTTTCTAAAGGAACTGATTTTATCCCGCCTGTTGCCATACAGATTAAATGATTATAGATTTTTCTAAATTTATTCCAGTCTAAACGTATGCCCCTTTACACAGGCAAGAACAAAAGGGTTTCAATGTAAGATGCTGAAAGTTTTATGCCATATTTCATTTTAAAAATATGAAAACCAGACATTTACTAATTTATCATCCCTATTAAATGTGTTGGATTCCTCCAGTATAACTCTTATTGACAGTTAAAAATCAGCCAGTTACAGTAGTGTTAATGTGGTAAAATAGATTAGAAGTAGGCACATTATGGTCATTGCTCAGGTAATATATATCTTCAGAAAAAACCGGGTGCATTATAAATTTTTCTGTAAAGTCAATATAAGGGAAATGTTGATAAGATTGATATAATTTTGACATAACTTTGACATATATATTTCTACATATTTTGAAACTTTAAAAATGTAATCACTAAATACTCTTCATACCGCACTGAGATTCTTCGGTTAAGTTTATTGGACAGGTGGAATCATGCATTACACTATTGAGGTTGCGTTCAAGTTTATGGAGGGAAATATACATACATACATTCGTATATACATACACACATGGGTAATCAGTTTTCACTGGGAATCTTGGTAATGGGAGTGGTGATGTGCATACTGAAGAATTTTGGAAAATAATTTAATCATTATCTTTAAATTCTCATTTTAAAAATGTGATCAAAAATAGATATCTGTTAAATAGAGGATCTGTATTTAACCTAAGCTTCATGATAATAGTTGAAGCTTGGCATTCACCAAGTGTTTGCACTTGTTATTACAGGGATTTTAATGCACTTACTGCATTACTTGTATTTTCATACATCTCCTTAGGACTTCATTCTATTACAGCTCTATTAAGTAGTTTTCTCCAGAACCATAAAATGTAGCCACTGGGTTTAGACTTAAATATAAAACCGCAATTAAATTTGCACTAACTTAACATTTCAACTGAATTAAGCTTTTAAAACACCTATACAGGGATTGAGACATTATGAAGAAGCAGAGATTTTGTTTTTATCTCCATTAAGTTATTTTCTAGGAGTGAACATAGGTTTGTCCATCAGTGAAGATCAAGCAAAAGATGAAACCTTTTGTTCCTTAATTTCCATCTTGTCACCTGCCTGTTTGATTTCTCTTATAATGTAAAGTATGACTGAGAATGACTTTCACTTATAACTTATAGAAAAGGCGTACATATTTGAGGCTTAGGTGATTTCTTGGGAGGTACCATTAGTTCTAATAAGAAGAAAAAGGTTTTAGCATTATATATAAGGAAAAAAAATCATAGTGTAAAAAATTATTCTAGATGAGTACAGCAGTTAAAAATGTATCTTGGAGTATACATGTTAGCAGAAATGGTGAGGATGCAAGATTTATTCCAAATAATATTTTCAACTCTGAGTATTACTCTAATTTAACTTTTATATGTTAATGCTGTATTGGATGTAAACACCTTTACCTTCAACTCTTTTTAATTACCACTTCTTTGCATAAAAATATATAGAATGTAACTTAATAATATGTGTGTATTATGATTGTTTTATAGCATATGTTATATAATATATATCTCATAAAACATATTTTTAACATGAGTACAGTTATGCTAACACGATATTCAGGGATAGATGTTAATTCACTAATTATCCCAAATTATTTTGAAGCCCCAGCATCTCCAGATGATTTTTGCTATATTACCGTATAGGATACCAGTTCTGCCATTTAGCTTTAGAGATATTTAGCCATTGGGGAAATATAATTGGGTAAGCTGCCCTATGATTCACCTAATTACCGTGAAACTTGCGATAACCTCTAAATACAATACGTTCTATAAACTGTTTATATTGTGACTAAGGGATTAAAACCATGGAACAAGACAAATATAGTCATATTTTATCGTGGTCAAAAACTATCTTCCATGTTTTAAAGGACCTACATTTAGAACTTATTATGGGAAAATGTGGATGG